TACTGTTACTTCTCCAGATAATAACAAAACTCAGTATATTCAAAGGAATTGAGTCAATAAAAATAAAATGAAATAAAATAAAAACAAGGGCGGGCCACGCCCCCACCTGGATTCGAACCAGGATCCTTTCGGTTAACAGCCGAACGCGCTAGCCGGTTGCGCCATGGAGGCCCATATTATAGGGGCTGCTTTTTTTTTCTTTCGTGTAGCTTGTTAATTTTTTAACTTCAAAATCGATATGTAACGCAGTAGATATCGAACTAATATGCACTTGATACAGCTTTTTAACCTGCGGTTTAATTATCCAGTGGTAAATTTATTACAGATAATTTTTTTTTTATATAAATCAATTCAAAATAAGACCAAGGTCATTTTAGTTGCATTTATAAAATCTTGCAGTATAACCCGTATTCCCCTTCTTGCAGCACTCAGCCCTTATGAATTTGTGATAACTTTCGGAAGTTGTAAACGTGACGAAAGTTTTTCGTGGATAAGTCAATAATTGCTGTCTGGAAAAAATAGGTAAAGATTCACGGGGATAATAGTGAAATTATCGTCAACCCCGCAACAGAACCTGGAGAGGTAAAAAAATAAAACTGAACTTATCGTCAACCCTGCGACAGAACCTGGATAGGACTGAACTTATTCGTCAACCCTGTAACAGAACCTGGATCGGGAATCTTCAGCTAGATTTCAAAATCTGGGTTAAGTATGGTAACAGCCAGCCAACTCGAATTCTTTTGAGGGAGACCATGGACGACTTGAAAGAAGCGATCAAGAAGAAATTGTTACCTAAGTTGGATGATGTGACAGTCGATGATATTACTATCTTGCGCAATAGTTTTATTAAATATAAATACAAGTTTAACACAAAAGGTGACAATAAAAGAATTTTTGATAATGGAAAACAGATCCAGAAATAATAAAACACCATATATCGCTAGACCTATTACTCGTTCCCAATCAAATATCTCCTGGGTTAGTGGTGGATGAGAGGTTTTATAAATGATGTTTACAAGATATTGTAAGGGCAACTGGTATGTATTCAAGTTTATTGAATAAGAGTGTTGATTAATAGTATGCATGGGTGTCTAAATTATTTTTTAAAAAAAGCAATTTCGACAAACATTCGACATTTGCTAGTTTTTTTATATGAATTCCACAAAGTAACCATATTACCTAATGTATTTTGGCATAAAAATAATTTCACTAAAAATTTCGACAACTATGAAAATTAATTCAACCACTAAGAAAAATTAATTTCGACAGACTGAATATCGAAATAATTTTTATTAAGAGAAATAATTTAGACACCCATGTATAATTAATATGCTAAAGTAATTTTATGTTTCTGCGTATGTTAACTAACTACGGCTTTTTTATAAGCAACTTTAAAACGTAAACATGAAGAGTCGGAAGATTTTGAGAAGATCGTGGATATTTATTGTAATTTGTTT